AGTACTTCCCACATAGGGGCTCTGGTCAAAAACAAGTGCCCTATATAGGGTAAAAACAGTGCACTATATAGGGTAAAACAGTGCCCTAAATAGGGTAAAAACAGTGCACTATATAGGGTAAAAACAGTGCCCTAAATAGGGTAAAAACAGTGCCCTAAATAGGGTTAAAAACAGTGCACTATATAGGGTAAAACAGTGCCCTATATAGGGTAAAAACAGTGCCCTAAATAGGGTAAAAACAGTGCACTATATAGGGTAAAAACAGTGCACTATATAGGGTAAAACAGTGCACTATATAGGGTAAAACAGTGCCCTAAATAGGGTAAAAACAGTGCACTATATAGGGTAAAAACAGTGCCCTAAATAGGGTAAAACAGTGCCCTAAATAGGGTAAAAAACAGTGCACTATATAGGTTAAAAAACAGTGCCCTAAATAGGGTAAAACAGTGCACTATATAGGGTAAAAACAGTGCCCTAAATAGGGTAAAAACAGTGCACTATATAGGGTAAAAACAGTGCCCTAAATAGGGTAAAACAGTGCACTATATAGGGTAAAAACAGTGCACTATATAGGGTAAAACAGTGCACTATATAGGGTAAAACAGTGCACTATATAGGGTAAAACAGTGCACTATATAGGGTTAAACAGTGCACTATATAGGGTAAAACAGTGCACTAAATAGGGTAAAACAGTGCACTATATAGGGTAAAAACAGTGCACTATATAGGGTAAAACAGTGCACTATATAGGGTAAAACAGTGCACTATATAGGGTAAAACAGTGCACTATGTAGTGTTGTGGCTTGTGTTGAGGAAAGGATGGTTTTCTGAATCAGTGTTCTGGAATGTGTTGCTGTTGAACTGGTGGTTGATGAGTGTGTAGGGATGGTGGTTGATGAGTGTGTAGGGATGGTGGTGGATGAGTGTGTAGGGATGGTGGTTGATGAGTGTGTAGGGATGATGGTTGATGAGTGTGTAGGGATGGTGGTTGATGAGTGTGTAGGGATGGTGGTGGATGAGTGTGTAGGGATGGTGGTTGATGAGGTGTAGGGATGGGTGGTGATGAGTGTGAGGGATGGTGGTTGATGAGTGTGTAGGGATGGTGGTGGATGAGTGTGTAGGGATGGTGGTTGATGAGTGTGTAGGGATGATATATCTGTGTTGTTCTGCAGTTCTACCGGGATGCCAAGGACTGGTGGCTGATGAGTGTATTGGTGTTGTTCTGTAGTTCTATCTGTGTTGTTCTGTAGTTCTATCTGTGTTGTTCTGTAGTTCTATCTGTGTTGTTCTGTAGTTCTACCGGGATGCCAAGGACTGGTGGCTGTTTGGGTTCTATTTCTGTGTTCCGTTGGCGTGTTCCGGCCGTGTTCTACACGCTGATGACATGTGAGATGTTACATCACAGGAACGGATCCCTCCGGATCGCGCTCAGCGAACACCTCAAACAGGTACACACACACACACACACACATACACACACACACACACACACACACACACACACACACACCACACACACACAACACACACACACCACACCACACACACACACACACACACACACACACACACACACACACACACACACACCACACACACAACACACACACACTACACACACGCGCGTGCTCTCTCTCTCTCACTCTCTACACACACACACACACACACACAACACGGTCTCTCTCTCTCTCACTCTCTCCACACCCCTCACCCCTGTGTGTGCTTGCTGTCTCCCTGTAGCGTCGGGAGGTAGCCAAGGCAGTATTCTGCCTGGTCCTGATCTTTGCTCTGTGCTGGTTCCCGCTCCACCTCAGCAGGATACTGAAGAAGATGGTTTACATGTCCCATGATGCCGGACGCTGTGAACTGCTCAAGTAGGGACACACGCACACACGTACGCAGGCGCAAAACACACACACACACACACACACACACACACACACACACACACACACGCTAGCACGGACGCACACACACACACATGCTAGCACGGGCACACGGCTAGCTACTAAATTGCGACAATTAAAGGTAAATTTCTCACAAAATTGACATTCAAATATATATTATATTATTGTATTCTAGTTTCCTGTTGGTCCTGGACTACTGCAGTATTAACTGTGTCTGTAGTTTCCTGTTGGTCCTGGACTACTTCAGTATTAACTGTGTCTGTAGTTTCCTGTTGGTCCTGGACTACTTCAGTATTAACTGTGTCTGTAGTTTCCTGTTGGTCCTGGACTACTACAGTATTAACTGTGTCTGTAGTTTCCTGTTAGTCCTGGACTACTGCAGTATTAACTGTGTCTGTAGTTTCCTGTTGGTCCTGGACTACTACAGTTTTAACTGTGTCTGTAGTTTCCTGTTAGTCCTGGACTACTGCAGTATTAACTGTGTCTGTAGTTTCCTGTTAGTCCTGGACTACTGCAGTATTAACTGTGTCTGTAGTTTCCTGTTAGTCCTGGACTACTGCAGTAATAACCTGTGTCTGTAGTTTCCTGTTGGTCCTGGACTACTGCAGTATTAACTGTGTCTGTAGTTTCCTGTTGGTCCTGGATTACTGCAGTATTAACTGTGGTCCGAGTTTTCCTGTATATCCATGGACTACTGCAGTATAAACTTGTTCTGTAGTTTCCTGTTGGTCCCTGGACTACTTGCAGATTAACCTGTGTCTGTAGTTTCCCGTTTGGTCCTGGACTATTTGTCAGTATTTAAACGTGTCCTGTAGTTTCCTTCCTGTTGGTTCCTGGACTACTGCAGTATTAACTGGTCTGTAAAGTTTCCTGTTAGTCCTGGACTACTGACTGCGGTTTAACGGTGTCTGTAAGTTTCCTTTTAGTCCTGTACTACTGCATTATTAAACTGTGTCTGTAGTTTCCTGTTAGAGTCCTGGACATACTGCAGTATAACTGTGTCTTAGTTTTCCTCCGTCCGGTTAGTCCACATCAGGACTAACTGCAGTATTAAAAAAAAAACAAAAAAAAAAAAATATAAAATAAAAAAAAAAAATTAAAAAAAAAAAAAAAAAAACTCGCAACACTCTGTGGTCTTGTTTTTCCGAGTGTGTCCCTGGACGTACTGCGGTATTAACTGTGTCGTTAGTTTCCTGTTTGGTCCTTGACTACTGCAGTATTAACTACTCTCTAACTGTGTCTGTAAGTTTCCGTGTTAGTCTGGACTACTGCAGTATTAACTGTTTCCTGTAGTGTTTCCTGTTGGTCCTTCTCGGACTACTGCAGTATTAACTACTGTGGCTGGTATTTCCTGGTGGTCCTGGACTACTGCCGGTATGAAAACTGTGTCTATTATGTCCTGTTATCCCTGGACTGACTGCAGTATTAACTGTGTCTGTAGTTTCCTGTTGTTCCTGGACTACTAAAGTAGTAAAACTGAACTGTGTCTGTAAACATTTTCCTGTTAGTCCTGGACTACTGCATTACTAAACTGTGTCTGTAAGTTTCCTGGTGGTTCCCTGACTACTTTACTGCAAGTATTAACTTGTCTGGGCTGTAGTTTTCCTGTTGGTCCTGGACTATTGCAGTAGTAACTGTACTGTGTCTGTAGTTTTTATTTTCCTTTTGGTCATGGGCTGGACTACTGTCTAAGTACTGTGTCTGTAGTTTCCTCCTGTTGGTCCCTGGACTACTGCGTATTTAACCTGTGTCCTTTATTTCCCTGTTGGTCACTCTCTCTCTGGACTACTGCAGTATTGACTGTGTCTGTATTTTCACTCCTTCCCTCCCGCGCCCTTTTTCCTCCGTCCCTCCTCCTGTTAGTCCTGGACTACTGCAGTATTAACTGTGGTGTCTTTAGTGTTCCCCCGTCTGATCTCCTCCTTCCTCCTCCCTCCTGTTGGTCCTGGACTACTACAAGTAATTAACTGTGTCTGTAGTTTCCTGTTAGTGCCTGACTACGCAGTATGAACTGTGTCTGTAGTTTTCCTGTTAGTTCCTGGCTACGCAAGTATAAAACTAGTGTCTGTAGTTTCCTGTTAGTTCCTGGACTACTGCAGTATTTAACTGTTCTTTAGTTGTCCAGTGTGTCTGGACTACTGCAGTTTAACTGTGTCTGTAGTTTTCCTGTTGGGGTCCTGGCCTAATTACTGCAGTATTAACTGTGTCTGTAAGTTTCCTGTTATTCCTGGGACATACTTTGCAGATTAAGCTGTGTAGCTGAGTAAAAGGTTTTCCTGTTGGTCCTGGACGACTGCAGTATTAACTGTGGTCTGTAGTTTCTGTTGGTCCTGACTACTGCATTATTAACTGTGTCTTGTAGTTTTCCTGATTATTCCTGGACTCCTGGCAGTATTAACTGTGTCTGTAGTTTCCTGTTGGTCCTGACTACTAAATTATACTTTGTCTGTAGGTTTCCTCTGTTAGTCCTGGACTACTTACTGTCAGTATACCCTGTGTCTGTAGTTTCCTGTTGGGGTCCTGGACTTACTGCCGTATAACTGTGTCTGTCGTTTCCTGTTTGGTCCTGGACTATTGCAGTATTAACTGTGTCTTGTAGTTGTCCGTGTTGGTCCTGGAACTACTGCATATCACTTGTGGTCTTATTGTTTCCTGTTTATCCTGGACTACTGCAGTATTAACTGTGTCTGTAGTTTCCTGTTAGTCCTGGACTACTGCAGTATTAACTGTGTCTGTAGTTTCCTGTTAGTCCTGGACTACTGCAGTATAAACTGTGTCTGTAGTTTCCTGTTAGTCCTGGACTACTGCAGTATTAACTGTGTCTGTAGTTTCCAGTGGTGTCCTGGACTACTGCAGTATTAACTGTGTCTGTCAGTTTTTCTGTTGGTCCTGACTACTGCGTATTACTGTGGTCTGTATTTTCCTGTTGTTAGTCCGGGACTACTGCATTATAACTGTGGCTGTAGTTTCCCTTTTGGTCTGGCTACTGCAGCTATTAATGTGTCCTGGAGTGTTCCTGTTGGTCCTTGGACTAGCTGCAGTATTAACTGTTGTCTGTAGTTTTTCCTGTTATCTGGACTACTGCAGTATTAACTGTGTCTGTAGTTTTCCTGGTTGTCCACTGGACTAACTAAAGTATTAACTTTGTCTGTAATTTTTCCTGTTAGTCCCTGGACTACTGCAGTATAAACTGGTCTGTAGTTTCCTCCTGTTAGTCCTGGACTACTGCGTATAACTGTGTCTGTAGTTTCCTGTTAGTCCTTGACTAGCGCGGATTACTCTGTGTCTGTAGTTTTTCCTTGTGTCCTTGACTACTGCAGTATTAACTGTGTCTGTAGTTTCCTGTTAGTCCTGGACTACTGCAGTATTAACTGTCTGTAGTTTCCTGTTAGTCCTGGACTACTGCAGTATTAACCGTGTCTGTAGTTTCCTGTTGGTCCTGGACTACTGCAGTATTAACTGTGTCTGTAGTTTCCTGTTAGTCCTGGACTACTTACATATTAAACTGTGGTCTGTAAGTTTCCTGTTATCCGGCTACTAGCATATGAACTGTGTCTGTGTTTGTGTCCTGTAGTTTCCTGTTAGTACCTGGACTACTGCAGTCTAAACGTTCCTGTAGTTTCCTGTTGGTCCTTGCCTACTACATGTTAACTGTGTCTGTATTTTCTGTTAGTCCTGGACTACTTACTGCAGTAATAAACGTCTGTAGTTTCCTGTTAGTCCTGGACTACTGCAGTATTAACTGTGTTTGTAGTTTCCTGTTAGTCCTGGACTACTGCAGTATTAACTGTGTCTGTAGTTTCCTGTTGGTCCTGGACTACTGCAGTATTAACCGTGTTGTAGTTTCATCCTGTTATCTGGACTACTGCAGTATTACTGTGTCTGTGGTTTCCTGTTGGTCCCTGGACTACGGCAGTGTTAACTTGTCTTTGGTTTCCTGTTAGTCCTGGACTACTGCAGTATTAACTGTGTCTGTAGTTTCCTGTTGGCCCTGGACTACTGCAGTATTAACTGTGTCTGTAGTTTCCTGTTAGTCCTGGACTACTGCAGTATTAACTGTGTCTGTAGTTTCCTGTTAGTCCTGGACTACTGCAGTATTAACTGTGTCTGTGGTTGTGTCTTTAGTTTCCTGTTGGCCCTGGACTACTGCATCTTAATCCATGTCCTGTATTTCCGGTTAGTCCTGTATATGCATATTTACTGTGTCTGTTAGTTTTCCGTTTGGACTCCTGGATACTGCAGCTTAACTGGTGTCTGTGGGTTGTGTGGTAGTTTCCCCCCTGTTGGCCCTGGACTACTGCAGTCTTCCTGTGTCTGTATTTTCCTGTTGTCCTGTACTACGGCGTATTAGTGTGTTGTAGTTTCCTGTTGGCCTCTGGACTACTTGCAAGCACTATTACCGTGTCTGTAGTATTTCCTGTTAGTCCTGACTACGCAGTATTAACTGTGTCTGTAGTTTTCCTGTTGGATCCTGGACTACTGCAGAGTAACCTGTGTCTGTATTTTTTCCTTTTTTGTCCTGGACTCTGCGTCAGTAACTGTGTCTGTTGTTGGTGTCTGTAGTTCCTGTTGGTCCTGGACTACTTCATTATTAACCTGGCCACTTCAACTCCCTGCAGTCACCCTCATACTCTACGTCGGCAGCAAGAAGTTCAAACGCTTCAAGTAGGACTCTGTGTGTCGTGTACTTTGTGCTCTTTCCATGTCAAGCCACCTTGCTCAAATGATCCATGAGGTCCTAGTGGCTCTGATGTCATAGTGAGGTAATGGTCAGTGGTCGTGTGAGAGAGATACGCAGGGACACACAGAGAGGGAGATGAGAGAGGGAGAGAGGGAGAGAGAGAGGGGGAGGATGGGGAGAGAGGGTGAGAGAGAGATAGTGGACTAGTGGTGAGAGAGAGAGATTGGGGAGATCGAGAGATAGCCTCGCGCTCTCTCTCTATCTATCTCCTCTCTCTCATCGCGCGGATCTCTCCCGCGCGCTCTCGTCTAGGTGTGTTGCTTTTCTTTTGCTCTTTTTTCCCTTCTTTCTTCTCGCCCTTTGCGCGCTGTCTCTCTTTTCTTCCCCGCGTTTTCATCTTTCTTCGTTTTTCTCTACGCCTCCTTCCTGCTCCCTCCTTCTGTTCTCCCTCTCTCTGTCTCAGTCTCTCCTTCCGCTTTCCCCACTGGGGTGCTCTCATTTGTCTCTCCCTCTCGCTTGCTTTTCTCCCTGGGATCTCTTTTCTCTCTCTTGCTCTCTTTCGTTTCCCTTTTTTCTCTCTTGGTTCTGCTCGTTCCTTTCTCTCTCTACTGTCTCTCTTCCTTCCCACACCGCAAACCCGAGCCGCTCTTACTATTTTTTCTTTGTCGTTTTTAATTTTTTTTAGTCTTCTCTCTCTCTCCGTTTGGCTCATTCTTTTCACTTTTTTCTCTATCGCCATCGCTCTCTCTCCTCTCTTGCTCTTTCGTTTTTTGGGGGGGCCCCTCTTCTACCCTCTCTACTCTACAGTTTGTCTCATTGCTTTTTTTATCTCTATCCCTCTCTCTATGCCGCCCCTTCTTTGATCGACTTGTTTTCGCGTAGGCCATCTCTCTCTCCGCTGGTTCCACTTGTTGAGTGGGAGAGGTAGGCCAGAGAGAGAGACAGGGGATAGTGGGATTGTGGGGAAGGAGCAGAGAGAGAGAAACAGGGGGAGAGGAAGTTGGGGAGGAGCAAGGAGAGACAGGGGAGAAGGGAGTGTGGTTGAGATGACCAGAGAGAGAGGACCGTGGGGAGAAACTTAGATAGAGAACCTAGATAAGAGGAGGGATGAAATACATAGTCATCCATGATGTTGACCCGCAGATATGTTCTGGGAAGAGTGTCCCTGTGTTAACTCAGTCAGTCCTCTGCACTCTCCCTCCATCCCTCTCCCTCCATCCCTCTCCCTCCATCCCGCGCCCCCATCCCTCTCCCTCCATCCCTCTCCCTCCCTCCCCTCCCTCCATCCCTCTCCTCCATCTCTCTCCCTTCCATCCCTCCTCCTCCATCCCTCTCCCCTCCATCCCTCTCCCCTCCATCCCTCTCACGCCTCTCCCTCTCCCTCCATCCTCTCCCCCATCCCCTCCCTCCACCCTCTCCCTCCATCCCTCTGCCTCCATCCCTCCATCCCTCGCCCTCCATCCCTCTCCCTCCATCCCTCTCCCTCCCATCCCGCTCCCTCCCTCCCTCTCCCCCATCCCTCCATCCTCCATCCTCTCCCTCCATCCTCTCCTCCATCTCTCTTCCCTCAGCTCCCTCTCACCTCCCTCCTCTCCCTCCCATTCCCTCTGCCTCCATCCCTTCTCCCTCCATCCCTCTCCCTCCACCCCCTCTCCCTCCATCCCGCTCCCTCCATCCGTCTCGCCTCCCATCCCTCTCCCCCATCCCTCCTCCCCCATCCCTCTCCCTCCATCCTCATCCCTCTCCCCCATCCCTCCATCCTCGTCCCCTCCCCTCTCGCCCTCCCGTCCTCTCCCTCCATCCTCTCCGCCATCCCTCTCCCTCCCTCCATTCCCTCTCCCTCCATCCCTCCATCCCGTCCAATCCCTCGCCCTCCATCCCTCTCCTCCCATCGCCTCTCCCTCCATCCCTCTCCCGCCACCCTCGCCCTCATCCCTCCATCCCTCCATCCCTCGCCCTCTCCCTCAAGCCCTCTCCCTCCATCCCTCTCCCTCCATCCCTCTCCCTCCATCCCTCTCCCTCCATCCCTCTCCCTCCATCCTCTCCCTCCATCCCTCTCTCCTCTAGTCGTGTCTCTGTTGTTGGTGTGACTCCAGTTCCTTGGTCAACAGTACGGTACCTCTCAACCTCAATGGAACCAGCCTGCAGTCCCTCATAACCCCCCCCCCTGATCACCAGTATGTACATCTCCACCTCAATGGAACCATAGCCTGCAGTCTAGAACCCTGAATCCACAGATGTACCTCTAACCTCAATGGAACCAGCCTGCAGTCTAAAAAACCTGATCAACAGTACGGTACCTCTCACCCAATTGAACCAGCCTGCATTCTAAGAACCCGTGATCAACTTATTGTACCTTCTGATCCTCATGGAACCTGCCTGCATTCTAAGACCCTGTCAACAGTATTGGTACCCTCTGATCCTCAATGGAACCAGCCTGCATTCTAAGAACCCTGATCAACAGTATGGTACCTCTCAACCTCAATGGAACCAGCCTGCAGTCTAAGAACCCTGATCAACAGTATGGTACATCTCAACCTCAATGGAACCAGCCTGCAGTCTAAGAACCCTGATCAACAGTGGGTTGGGGGAGTTGTGTGTGTGTGTGTACAACAATGGATCGGATGCCCTCTGGCGTTTATTCACTAAGATGCACTATTTTTTGGGACTATATACAGTGCATTCGAAAAGTATTCAGACCCCTTGACTTTTTCCACATTTTGTTACGTTATCCTTATTCTAAAATTGATTAAATAGTTTTTTCCCCTCATCAATCTACACACAATACCCCATAATGACAAATCAAAAACAGGTTTGTTGAAATGTTTGCAAATTCATAAAAATACTATTTACATAATGGGTATGACGCTACAAGTTTGGTACACCTGTATTTGGGGAGTTTCTCCCATTCTTCTCTGCAGATCCTCTCAAGCTCTGTCAGGTTGGATGGGGAGCGTTGCTGCACAGCTATTTTCAGGTCTCTCCAGAGATGTTCGATCGGGTTCAAGTCCGGGCTCTGGCTGGGCCACTCAAAGGACATTCAGAGACTTGTCCCGAAGCCACTCCTGCGTTGTCTTGGCTGTGTGCTTAGGGTCGTTGTCCTGTTGGAAGGTGAACCTTCTCCCCATTCTGAGGTCCTGAGCGCTCTGGAGCAGGTTTACATCAAGGATCTCTCTGTACTTTGCTCTGTTAATCTTTCCCTCGATCCTGACTAGTCTCCCAGTCCCTGCCTCTGAAAAACATCCCCACAGCATGATGCTGCCACCACCATGCTTCATCGTAGGGATGGTGCCAGGTTTCCTCCAGACGTGACGCTTGGCATTCAGACCAAATAGTTCAATCTTGGTTTCATCAGACCAGAGAATCTGGTTTCTGATGGTCTGAGAGTCCTTTAGGTGCCTTTCTGCAAACTCCAAGTGGGTTATCATGTGCCTTTTACTGAGGAGTGGCTTCCGTCTGGCCACTCTACCATAAAGGCCTGACTGGTGTAGTGCTGCAGAGATGGTTGTCCTTCTGGAAGGTTCTCTCATCTTCACAGAGGAACTCTGGAGCTCTGTCAGAGTAACCATCGGGTTCTTGGTCACCTCCCTGACCAATGCCCTTCTCCCCCGATTGCTCAGTTTGGCCCGGCGGCCAGCTCTAGGAAGAGTCTTGGTGGTTCCAAACTTCTTCCATTTAAGAATGATGGAGGCCACTGTTTTCTTGGGGACCTTCAATGCTGCAGAAATGTTTTGGTGTCCTTCCCCAGATCTGTGCCTCGACACAATCCTGTCTCGGAGCTCTACGGACAATTCCTTCAACTTCTGTCTTGGTTTTTGCTCTGACATGCACTGTCAACTGTGGGACCTTATATAGACATGAGTGTGCCTTTCCAAATCATGTCCAATCAATTGAATTTACCACAGGTGGACTCCAATATTTGAGATTCTTCAAATAGCCACCCTTTGCCTTGATGACAGCTTTTTACAGTCTTGGCATTGTCTCAACCAGCTTCATGAGGTAGTCACCTGGAATGCATTTCAATTAACAGGTGTGCCTTCTTAAAAGTTAATTTGTGGAATTTCTTTCCTTCTTAATGCGTTTGAGCCAACCTGTTGTGTTGTGACAAGGTAGGGGTGGTATACAGAAAATAGCCCTATTTAGTAAAATACCAAGTCCATATTGTGGCAAGAACAGCTCAAATAAGCAAAGAGAAACGACAGTCCATCATTACTTTAAGACATGACGGTCAGTCAATACGGAGCATTTCAAGAACTTTGAACGTTTCTTCAAGTGCAGTCACAAAAACCATCAAGCGCTATGATGAAACTGGCTCATGAGGACCGCCACAGGAAAGGAAGACCCAGAGTTACCTCTGCTGCAGAGTTAACTGCATCTCAGATTGCAGCCCAAATAAATGCTTCACAGAGTTCAAGTCATGGACACATCTCAACATCAACTGTTCAGAGGGGACTGTGTGAATCAGGCCTTCATGGTCGAATTGCTGCAAAGAAACCATTACTAAAGTACTGCTTGGGCCAAGAAACACGAGCAATGGACATTAGACCGGTGGAAATGTGTCCTTTGGTCTGGAGTCCAAATTGGAGATTTTGGGTTCCAACCGTCGTGTCTTACAAGACGCAGAGCAGGTGAACGGATGATCTCTGCATGTGTAGTTCCCACTGTGAAGCATGGAGGAGGAGGTGTTATGGTGTGGGGGTGCATTGCTGGTGACACTGTCAGTGATTTATTTAGAATTCAAGGCACACTTAACTAACATGGCTACCACAGCATTCTGCAGCGATACGCCATCCCATCTGGTTTGCGCTTAGTGGGACTATCATTTGTTTTTCAACTGGACAATGACCCAACACACCTCCAGGCTGTGTAAGGGCTATTTTACCAAGAAGGAGAGTGATGGAGTGCTGCATCAGATGACCTGGCCTCCACAATCCCCCAACCTCAACCCAATTGAGATTGTTTGGGATAAGTTGGGCCACAGAGTGAAGGAAAAGCAGCCAACAAGTGCTCAGCATATGTGGGAACTCCTTCAAGACTGTTGGAAAAGCATTCCAGGTGAAGCTGGTTGAGAGAATGCCAAGAGTGTGCAAAGCTGTCATCAAGGCAAAGGGTGGCTATTTGAAGAATCTCAAATATAAGATATATTTTGATTTATTTAACACTTTTTTGGTAACTACATGATTCCATATTTGTTATTTCATAGTGTTGATGTCTTCACTATTATTCTACAATGTAGAAAATAGTAAAAATAAAGAAAAACTCTTGAATAAGTAGGTGTGTCCAAACTGTTGACTGGTACTCTATGTAAATGTGCAAATATTTATAGAAACCTGTTTTTGCTTTGTCATTATTGGGTATTGTGTGTAGATTAATGAGGAATTGTTTTTATTTAATCGATTTTAGAGTAAGGCTGTAACATAACAAAATGTGGGAAAAGTCAAGAGGTCTAAATACTTTCCGAATGCACTATACACCTCATTCAGTATTTTTGGTACTATATATACACCATGCAGTATTTTCGGGACTATATATATATACACACCATGCAGTATTTCCAAACAATTCAACACTTCACTGTTTGAGCTCCGTAACTTTGGTAGGGGAGAGAGGTCTCCATGACAATGAGATTAGAGGTTACCATGGAGATGAATGATTGACAGCTTGCTGGCTGGACACCTAGCACAGGAAGCGGAAGAGCCTATGAAGTTGCCCCCTAGTTTAGACACTCGCTGATCCAAGATCAGTTTGGTGTTTCCTTTCTGATGTTTAAAGTTTAGGATGTGGGTTGGTTAGGCTGATCCTTGAGCTGTTGTTAGGGGTAAATGCTTCACATAGCAGACAGCAGACCTACTGTGTATATGGATTATCAGTAGGTCTCAGAGATCTTTTGTCTGGGCTTAGCCTGGTTCCACATCTGTTTGTGCTGTCTTGTCAACTCAAAGGCTCTTAATGGAGTTAGTGTAGCTGATGTGAAATAGCTACCTAGTTAGCGGTGTGAAATGGCTAGCTAGTTAGCGGTGTAAAATGGCTAGCTAGTTAGCGGTGTGAAATGGCTCGCTAGTTAGCGGTGTGCTAGTAGCGTTCAATCGGTGATGTCACTCGCTCTGAGACCTAGAAGTAGTTGTTTCCCCTTACTCCACAAGGGCTGCGGCTTTTGTGGAGCGATAGGTAACGGTGCTTCGTGGATGACAGTTGTGGCTGTGTTCAGAGAGGGTCCCTGGCTCGAGCCCAGGTTGGGGCAAGACGAAGGGGGTCCCTGGTTCGAGCCCAGGTTGGGGCAAGACGAAGGGGGTCCCTGGCTCGAGCCCAGGTTGGGCAAAGACGAAGGGGGTCCCTGGCTCGAGCCCAGGTTGGGGCAAGACGAAGGGGGTCCCTGGCTCGAGCCCAGGTTGGGGCAAGACGAAGGGGGTCCCTGGCTCGAGCCCAGGTTGGGGCAAGACGAAGGGGGTCCCTGGTTCGAGTCCAGGTTGGGGCAAGACGAAGGGGGTCCCTGGCTCGAGCCCAGGTTGGGGCAAGACGAAGGGGGTCCCTGGCTCGAGCCCAGGTTGGGGCAAGGAGAGGGATGGAAGCAATACTGTTACATTGGCAAGACAGCACAAACACCCTAGTCTGGATACTCCATAGTAGACACCCTAAGAAGGGTTTGGGTTGGGCCAGAAACACACACCACTAATATCCATGGTTTTATATCATTTTTCAAAGTATTTAAGGGAGTGTATTCTACAGTAACTATTGTGTTATAAACTGTTTTTTTTTTTTATATGTAAGAATTGAGAAACATGTATATTTTGTGTTGGTGGTGTTTTTCTATCTTGACATTGTGCACCGACAGGAGAAAATAAAGATATATTTTCTAACATTCAAGAAAAGTTACGGTACTCTACTCAATGTGTTGGAGGTGTCTTTCTATCTTGACACTGAGAGGAGATGTAAAGGTATATATTAGAAGAGTTACGGTACTCTACTCAATGTGTTGGAGGTGTCTTTCTATCTTACACTGAGGTGAATTTAAAGGTTTATTAGAAGAGTTACGGTATTTCTATCAAATCGTGAGGGGTTTAACAATGTGTTCCAAGAAGGCTTTAAAGTAGTAGAAAAATCTAGGATCAACAGATGGAGATCAAAGTGATACACGAGATAGTACTCAATGGATCACATAAGATCTAGAGATCTCATGTTTGATGCAATTCCATATCAGCAACGTGCCATAGTTGTCTTTACTACTAAAGACGGATCTTGACGAAGCCTACGAAGAGATCTGCAGAGAACATTGATCGAGAGCTATCCCTGAAAGCAACCATGCTCTGGCTCTACATCCCCGTCTCCTCCTAGCGCTCTACTATACAGTCTATAAAGCATGAAAAGCAGATCTTCCTACCATCCTCTACCCCTCTCCCTCCTCTCCCCTCGCTCTCCTGCTCTCTCTCTCTCTCTCGCTCTCTCTCTCTCTCTCCCTTGCTCTCTCTCCCCCTCTCTCTCCATTGCTCTCTCTCTCTCTCTCTCTCTCTCTCTCTCTTCTCTCTCTCTCTCTCTCCCTTGCTCTCTCTCTCTCTCCCCCTCTCTCTCTCCCTGCATACTTTACTGCTCTGTCTTCTGTAGAAACCAACCCAGGGAACCAATATGGAGTAAATCTCTTTACAAGTTGTTGACAGATGTAGTCAGTGTTCCTATCTACACCGCAGCTTCCTCTACTCAATATCCTGCTACTGCTGTCTCTGTGTGTGTGTGTGTGTGTGTGGTGTGTGTGTGTGTGTGTGTGTGTGTGTGTGTGTGTGTGTGTGTGTGTGTCTGTCTGTGTGTGTGTTGTGGTTCCCTTCCATCTGACACATTAATTTCACTGTTAAACTTTACACTTTAGTTTTCCATATTAGTTCAACTGCTTACTTATTAGATTTGCTCAAAACTACACTCGTGAAACGTGACAGTGCATCACATGGTATAAATCTTGAACGATTCTTTGATTCTGAACAGAGCTCAACTCACCCGAGATGGGGAAACTTGTCTGTCTGGATCACAGAATTAGGAATTAGGAATACTAATCGGGTGGCAGTTAGCCCTAGCGGTTAAGAGCGTTGGGCCCTGTAACAGAAAAGATGCGGTTCGAATCCCCGAACCGACTAGGTTAAAAAAATATGTTGATGTGCCCTTGAGCAAGGCACTTAACCCTAGTCGCTCTGGATAAGAGCATCTACTAAATGACTAAAAACGTAATTGAATAGCATCTTTAAGGTGCCACATTGGAATGTCTGCACTCACTAACTGTAAGTCGCTCTGGATAAGAGCGTCTGCTAAATGACTAAAATGTAAATGACAATGTAAATGATAGTTCCGTACGACGTAGCGACATCTAGTGGCCAATGATGAACACTACAGCATTGTATTTCTCGGACCCATAATAAACGATGCCTACCTCGGCTGGCATGTAAAAGTCACCAGTAAGGCTACCGACTGTAATATATGGAGCTATACACCTTTAATGATAGTCCATAACTCCCCTTGTGTTTAACAGCCAATCAGTATCACTCTTGAGGTTGAAGGTCAAGGGGATATGTAAATGAGCGGTCTTGCGGTTTGAAGTGTGCCTGCGTGCACGGTGTTAATTCTTACCATGCTTCAGATGTAAAGCTAAAAGGAATAGTACTTCAGTCTCCATTGTCAAGTTAATTCTGCCGTGCACAGACCGATCCAATATGCTTCAAATAACTAACATTGTGGTGAATTGTATTATTTCTGAAAATGATCCACTAGTGTTGTTTTGTTTTACCGCCCCTCCCTGCTCACATATGACAATGAGGGGGGGTAACTGAACTGGCCACGTGACCTGATGATGCTGGAAGGATGCTAGCTCTGGTCCAGGGTGTTAGTGCGCGTTCCTCCTCTAACTAAGTAGAGGAACATACGTAACACCCTGGACCAGAGCTAAAATTACGTATATGACGGTTTGTTGTGAGGTGAGCGTCAACGTGGAACCGCATGCGTTATTATTTGATGTGGAATTTCGCAGCCACCTCGGACGCAGTCCTTGTTCAGGATTTCATTCAGTCAGTTCGCGATCATTTTGGATTATAAAGTAAAGCTCTCCAGATCGGAATGGATGAAGCGCGTTAAAGCAACGTTGCTTGGCTACAATGCAGGAATATTGCTTCGTTGCTTCGGCTACAACGGGCGGCAGGTAGCTTAGTGGTTAAGAGCGTTGTGCCAGTAACCGAAAGGTCGCTGGTTCTAATCCCCGAGCTGACTAGGTGAAAAATCTGTCGATGTGCCCTTAAGCAAGGCACTTAACCCTAATTGCTCCTGTAAATCGCTCTGGATAAGAGCGTCTGCTAAATGACTACAAAAAACAAAAAAAATAATAAAAATAAAAATAAAGAATATACAGATGGCTATTTAGGAAAGCTGCACATGACTAGGCGAAGACAATGTTACAACAATAACTGAAAGATGCTTGTCTAGCGTTAGGTTTGTAGTCACTGGAGTTTAGGATATTGACGTGATCACTTGTTATTTTGTAAACAAACGGTAGGCTACACAACCTGAGATACAGAAACCTGTTATCAGGTAGGTACACACCTGGTACCCCTGTAACACTACACACAACCTGAGATACAGAAACCTGTTATCAGGTAGGTACACACCTGGTACCCCTGTAACACTACACACAACCGGAGATACAGAAACCTGTTATCAGGTAGGTACACACCTGGTACCCCTGTAACACTACACACAACCTGAGATACAGAAACCTGTTATCAGGTAGGTACACACCTGGTACCCCTGTAACACTACACACAACCTGAGATACAGAAACCTGTTATCAGGTAGGTACACACCTGGTACCCCTGTAACACTACACACAACCTGAGATACAGAAACCTGTTATCAGGTAGGTACACACCTGGTACCCCTGTAACACTACACACAACCTGAGATACAGAAACCTGTTATCAGGTAGGTACACACCTGGTACCCCTGTAACACTACACACAACCGGAGATACAGAAACCTGTTATCAGGTAGGTACACACCTGGTACCCCTGTAACACTACACACAACCTGAGATACAGAAACCTGTTATCAGGTAGGTACACACCTGGTACCCCTGTAACACTACACACAACCTGAGATACAGAAACCTGTTATCAGGTAGGTACACACCTGGTACCCCTGTAACACTACACACAACCTGAGATACAGAAACCTGTTATCAGGTAGGTACACACCTGGTACCCCTGTAACACTACACACAACCTGAGATACAGAAACCTGTTATCAGGTAGGTACACACCTGGTACCCCTGTAACACTACACACAACCTGAGATACAGAAACCTGTTATCAGGTAGGTACACACCTGGTACCCCCTGTAACACTACACACAACCTGAGATACAGAAACCTGTTATCAGGTAGGTACACACCTGGTACCCCCTGTAACACTACACACAACCTGAGATACAGAAACCTGTTGTCAGGTACACACCTGGTACCCCTGTAACACTACACACAGCCTGAGATACAGAAACCTGTTGTCAGGTACACACCTGGTACCCCTGTAACACTACACACAGCCTGAGATACTAACCTACTATCTGGTTTAAGACCTCACACTGCAGAATAGAACTATGAAACATTACCCTAGAACACTGAGTCAGACATTCCGTTGGTTCATAAGATTCTGGAATGGCTGGACATTCTAGGTTCTATTCAGACCTACGCATCTCTATGGTAACAGGACTAGTTGAGGAGTTGTCACAAGACAAGGCTGCTCAAATAGCAGTCAACACACGCTGCCACGCTGTCATGCTGCCACGCTGCCACGCTGCCACGCTGTCACGCTGCCACGCTGCCACGCTGCCACGCTGTCACGCTGCCACGCTGTCACGCTGTCATGCTGTCACGCTGCCACGCTGTCACGCTCTCACGCTGTCACGCTGCCACGCTGTCACGCTGCCACGCTGTCACGCTGTCATGCTGCCACGCTGCCACGCTGTCACGCTGCCACGCTGCCACCCATCTACACACAATACCCTATAATGAGTGAAAACATGTTTTTAGAAATGTTAGCAAATTTATAAAAAAAATGAATACAGAAATAACAGATTTACATAAGTATTCACACCCCCTGAGTCAATATTTTGTAGGAGCACCTTTGGCAGCGATTACAGCTGTGAGTCTTTCTGGGTAAGTCTCTAGGCTTGCCATTACAAAAGGGTTGAATACTTATTGACTCAAGACATTTCAGCTTTTCATTTTGAATTAGTATTTTTTCTTTTTAATACATTTAAAAAAATAACATAATTCCACTTTGACATTATGGGGTATAGGCTGTAACACAACAAAATGTGGAAGGATTTGTGAATACTTTCTGAAGGTCACTGTATACCTACAGATACCGTATATCACTATAGATACCGTATATCACTATAGATACCGTATATCACTATAGATACCGCATATCACTATAGATACCACATATCACTATAGATACCGTATATCACTATAGATACCGCATATCACTATAGATACCGTATATCACTATAGATACCGTATATCACTATAGATACCGCATATCACTATAGATACCGCATATCACTATAGATACCGTATATCACTATAGATACCACATATCACTATAGATACCGCATATCACTATAGATACCGTATATCACTATAGATACCGTATATCACTATAGATACCGTATATCACTATAGATACCGTATATCACTATAGATACCGTATATCACTATAGATACCGTATATCACTATAGATACCACATATCACTATAGATACCATATATCACTATAGATACCACATATCACTATAGATACCGCATATCACTATAGATACCGTATATCACTATAGATACCGTATATCACTATAGATACCGTATATCACTATAGATACCGTATATCACTATAGATACCGTATATCACTATAGATACCGTATATCACTATAGATACCGTATATCACTATAGATACCGTATATCACTATAGATTGGTCTACCAGTCATCACTATCTAAAGACGCAGAAACTATAACTACATTTTAGTCATTTAGCAGATGCTCTTATCCAGAGCAACTTCGGTTAGGTGCCTTGCTCAAGGGCACATCAACAGCCTTTTCACCTAGTCGGCTCGGGGATTCGAACCAGCGACCTTTTTTTTGTTACTGGCCCAACGCTCTTACCGCTAGGCTAACTACATATATTACAATAGACTGAAATACAGGTAGCCATTATAACTGCATATATTACAATAGACTGAAATACAGGTAGTCATTATAACTACATATATTACAATAGACTGAAATACAGGTAGTCATTATAACTACATATATTACAATAGACTGAAATACAGGTAGTCATTATAACTACATATATTACAATAGACTGAAATACAGGTAGTCATTATATCACCAAAGCTTTATGTTTGTGGCAAATCCAACACAACACATCACTGAGTACCACTCTTCATATTTTCCAGCATGGTGGTGGCTGCATCGTGTTATGGGTATGCTTGTCATCGGCAATAAAACATTTAGGATAAAAATAAACGGAATAGATCTAAGCACAGGCAACATCCTAGAGGAAACCCTGGTTCAGTCTGCTGTCCACCAGACACTGGGAGACTAGAGGAAAACCTGGTTCAGTCTGCTGTCCACCAGACACTTGGAGACTAGAGGAAAACCTGCTTCAGTCTGCTTTCCACCAGACACTGGGAGACTAGAGGAAACCCTGGTTCAGTCTGCTTTCCAACAGACACTGGGAGATGAATTCACCTTTCAGCAGGACAATAACCTAAAACACAAGGCCAAATATACACTGGAGTTGCTTACCAAGAAGACAATGAATGTTCCTGAGTGGCCTAGTTACAGTATTGACTTCAATCTGCTTGAAAATCTATGACAAGACTTTAAAATGGTTGTCTAGCAGTGGCGGCTCCTGAAAAAATTCTCAGGAGGGGCAATTTTTCTGATGATTTAGGTGACCTACACACATTTTAAAAAAGATATGTCCAGCAACAACATGAAGACAGGGGCAGCATATAAGTCAATACCAGAAGCATTTATTGACTGATCTCAAAAGTGTTGGCTTACAAAAGCAAAATAAGTTATCACAGTAAAAATAATCAAGGGTGTTCTTTCACATTCCTCAACACTGCATAAACAATATGCATTTCCATAAAACACCTCATCTAATTGTGCCACAAAGTTGACAAGTCCAGGATATACTGTCAAGACATATCTCCGCCCTAACAATAGGAGTATTTGTCCACAAAGCGGTGTTGCGGGCTGACTGAAAATGCATAGCCATCTCGAGACAACTCCGATATAAAGTGTTTTTTTTTTCTTCTCACAGTTGGCTGGAATCACGTGTCCTACTTAAATCAGTACACTCGTAACCAGTGGCGGCTCCTGAAAAAATTCTCAGGGGGGGCAATTTTTCTGATGATTTAGGTGACCTACACACATTTAAAAAAAGATATGTCCAGCAACAACATGAAGACAGGGGCAGCATATAAGTCAATACTGATATACACATTACTTGCTTCAAAAAGGCCTCATGGTTGAATTGGAAATATGTGCACCTGAGCATAATTCACAACAAGCAAGCAGGAGCTTTTGATAGAGGCTACTGAAAACATTGATGCAAGTTATTAGTAATAAGACATTTTTATAGACTTCCATATTCTGCCCTCTTGTATAGATTTGTGAAAATGAACAGTGATAGACATTTTGCCTGAAAACAGAATTTGAAAATAATTTCTAGAAAAGGTAAACACAGCTATCTGTATGGCTTTGTAAAAATGAACAACCATATTCTGGCCAATTGTATAGATTTGTAAATATGAACAACCATATTCTGGCCAATTGTATAGATTTGTAAAAATGAACATGAACAGATTTTTATTTATTTATTACTTTAAAAAAAATGAAATATAACTATTTTAAACAACATCAACTGTGGACTGATTTGGGCGTGTGTGTGTTAAAGAGACAGACAGGGAGGGACAAAGAGAGAGAGAGGCTACATTACTTGTACTGAAACTGTTCTCTTCTCTGTTTCAATACAGCAAAGCGTTCAATGACTTTCTCATTGAAATCAGGCATGCTGAGGACTAGTTCCCTCTCCATGGAAAGCATGGCCAGTGCATTCAGACGTTCCTGGCCCATTGAATTTCGCAGGAATGTCTTAACTCGTGTCAAAGTTGAGAAACATCTCTCAGCTTCAGCTGTTGTCATGGGAGTAGTTATGAGGATGTTCAACAGAGTCACAGTCTCAGAGAACGTCTCCTGGAGGATGTAGCTCATGAGAACCTGGTACAGTGCCAGTGCACCACAGCAGCCCTTGAATTCAGGATTCTCATAGTAAGGTAGCACTCACAAGGTGGCCAGAGAAAGAGAACCTTTCTTTGGTGTGATCCAGGATGGTGTTGCAGACCTCTTCAGACAGCCTCTGCTTCTCCTCTTCTCTCAAAGCTGTTCTGGGTCTTTTGGCTCCTGTTGCTTCTTGCAGCTGCTGTTGAGAGGAGTCCCTGAAGGCAAACAGACCAATGTGTTTGTTGGCTTTGTACAGTATTGTTGTCTATGTGATGCACAGGTATATGCAATGTATCCATGTATAGTACAAATACTTCAGTTCCACTTAAAATGGGCAGGGATGCATAAAGTCTTTAGTGTTTAAGTTAGCCTTTGTGTCTCACATAGCCTGGATGTTCAGCACAGTATACAGTGGTGCTCATAAGTTTATGAGCCCATGCTAAAGTTGACTAAAAAGAGGAATAAAAAAGAAAAGAAAATTGGTGTCCTTAAAGGTTGGATTTTCCAACTTTTTTAATTAAGTCATTAAGATCAATTTCCAAAAGATGATTTTTTTATTTTTTTATTCCTCTTTTTAGTCAACTTTAGAATGTGTTCATACACTTATGAGCACCACTGTACAGTACACATAGTATATAAAATAAGCTAGATTACACCACTGGCCATATATAATGAGAATAATGTAATTTCAAACACAAATGCAGTCTCCTTTCATGCATACATTTTCAAATAAAGCTCTGCTTTGAGAAAGATCGAATGATATTGTTTAATCTTACCTTATGGCCTGCACACTGCTTGTGAAGCTGTCGAGGGCACGTTTGATGAAGACAGCATCGATGTCCTTCTTCTGTAGCTTCTGGTACAGAATGTCGACGTGGGGCATGATTTTGAGTTTGACTTTCTCGTCGTCGGCAAAAAGACCGTTCAGTCTCTCCAAAAGCACACTGGCGATTGAGACTGAGGTTGATTCCGAGATGGGAAGGAACTCAAAAAAGCGCTCCTGCACTTTGTGGTTGGTATCTATGTACCTCAGCACAAGCACCAGCTGTGTCTGTGTAGAAACGTCCGTGGTCTCGTCAGCTTGGATAGCTACGAAGTTCGCCGACTTCACCTCCTCCACAATATGTTCCCTCATGACCGCTAGCATACACTCCAGTAGCTCGTTTTGAATGGTCTTTGATGTGCCCTTGAAAACTTTAGCATTTTTAAGATGGTCATCAAACACCTCATCTAATTGTGCCACAAAGTTGACAAGTCCAAGAAAAATACCAGGGTTGGTGGAGCCCTCAGTTTCATCTTTGCCTCGCAAAGCTAACTCAAACACTCCGCAAAACTTCACACACTGGATTAGCCGGCTGAGGATGTGGCGGTTCTTGCTAACCTCATCGTTGTGGCGGCGGACAGCTAGCCTGTATCCCTCATCCAGTTGAGTGGCAATGTTCACTCTCCCCAAAGCAGACAATCTCAAACAGCTATCCATGTGGGTCTTTGACAGCTCATGTTTCTTAATCTTTTCTGAAAGATGGTGCATGTCCGTTACACCAGTCGCTGTCCAAGCGGTGCTGTCTGCCGTGCCGCCTTCAGGGTGAAAGAGTAAGCAGGGGGTAGCAGAAGACTGCATTAGCTACATCGCAGCCTGCTAGCCAGGTTTTTCGTTCATACCAATTTTTGGAAAATCATCGGGTGTAGGACTTTCCCCCTTTAGTAGAAACCTGTTGAATTATTAAATTTGGTCTGGGAGGTCCTAATTGTTTCGTTGCCAATTTATCTTGATTTGTTCGCCGACAAAAAGGAACTTCTTTCAAAGAAACAATCGAGTTGCACTGAACGCTAGCCATCTTGACAGTAGTACGTGAATTGATTGACGCTGCTACCCGCTCTTTTCTTAGTTACGTTCATGGTTATGTTACGTATGACGAAAGCGCGTAAGTGCAAGCCCTCCCGGAACCCATAGAGATTGTATTGAAAGCTCTGATATTTGAAAAAATAAGATTTTACATGAGAGTCTATGAGAGACTTCTGGGGCGATTTTCAACCTGACTGAAATCGCCCCAAAAGGTGCGGGGCCATTTGAAGCACGACTTTAGCCTGATTGGACATTTAGTGGCAGATCAGACGTCTAGATTAGAACACTGATAACTACTGTTGCCGTGATATAATTGATTAGAAAAAAAATCCCTTCCTTTTCCCGTTTGGCAGTGCGTCGCCCATATCGCCCTAATGAACACACCGCCCCTGTTGTCTAGCAATGATCAACAACCAACTTGACAGAGCTTGATTTTTTTTTTTTAAAGAATAAAGCGCAAATATTATACAATCCAGGGGCCTCATTTATCAATATTGCGTAGAAACTATTCTAAAATACTACTTAGAATGTTCGTACGCATAGAAAAAGTGTGATTTATCAAACAATCCTACGAGCGTCCTATGCACACTGGTAGGAACCCTGACCTCAACCCAATCGAACACCTTTGGGATGAATTGGAACGCCGAATGCCGCAGCAACGTCCCAACATCTAGTGGAAAGCCTTCCCAGAAGAGTGGAGGCTGTTATAGCAGCAAAGGGGGGGACCAACTCCATATTAATGCCCGTGATATTTTGGAATGAGATGTTCACATACTTTTGGTCATGTAGTGTATGTATGTACACGCATTGGACAGACAAGTGTAGTGTAGGGTGCGACAAAGTATTTCAAGAAACTGGAAAACATATATCAAGCAAGTATTTTTATATTCCACAAGTATTATCAGATTAACTGTTTTGTACAGATAATTATCGGACTCAAGTTACAAATGCTGGTAAACACTCAAATACATTTAGTTTAAAACATTTCACAAAAGCAGTGCACTGGGCCTTTACTGGTCCTGTATTAGCAGACAGATATAGAAGTCTTCGGCGCGGGCAGCCTTAACAGCTACTTCCTGTAGGCACATAGGCCAACACTGCTGTTCTGCAGAATAAAGGAGTTCTGCATTCCATCTGGCCACCTTGCCACCACATTCAGCAGCGTCTTTGCGCATTAACCTGCAAATAAGAGTGAAGCTTTCTGTTCAAGAGTGAACTTGTTTTAAGTGGTGCTTTTAGCCGTGTTAATGGTTTCTTTTTATATACATCTGAATATTTCCCCATGCTGATTTACTGGCTTCCTTTGTTGTTGTCAGGGGCTTTTTTAAAGTCGCACACTTCCTTTTTCCCTTCTGCATTCCCCCTCTCGATATCCCTGCCCCCTGACCTCTTCACTTTTCTACTGCTACCCGACCTCTTCACTGTCTACGGGACCCTGCCCCCTGACCTTTTCCCTGTCTACTGCCCCTGACTCGACCTCTTCCCTGTCTACTGCCACTGCCCCTGACCTTTCCCCTGTTCTGCCCCTGCCCCTGACCTCTTCCCGGTCTACTGGACCCTGCCCCCTGACCTCTTCCCTGTCTAATGGAACATCCCCTGACCCCTTCCCTGTCTACTGTACCCTGACCTCTTCCCGGTCTACCGTACCCTGCCCCCTGACCTCTTCCCTGTCTACTGGACCCTGCCCCCTGACCTCTTCACTGTCTACTGGACCCTGCCCCTGACCTCTTCCCTGTCCTACTGTACCCTGCCCCCTGACCTCTTCCCTGTCTACTGTACCCTGACCTCTTCACTGTCTACCGGACCCTGCCCCCTGAACCTCTTTCCCTGTCTACTGGACCCTGCCCCCTGACCTCTTTCCCTGTCTACTGTAAACCCTGCCCCCCTGACCTCTTCCCTGTCTACTGGACCCTGACCTCTTCCCTGTCTACTGTACCCCTGCCCCCCTGACCTCTTCCCTGTCTACCGTACCCTGCCCCCTGACCTCTTCCCTGTCTACTGTAACCCTGCCCCCTGACCTCTTCCCTGTCTACTGGACCCTGCCCCCTGACCTCTTCCCTGTCTACTCTAACCTACCCTGCCCCTGACCTCTTCCCTGTCTAACCGTACCCTGCCGCCCTGACCTCTTCCTGTCTACTGGACCCTGCCCCCTGACCTCTTCACTGTCTACTGACCCTGGCCCTTGACCTTTCACTGTCTACTGTACCCTTCCCCCTGACCTTTTCCCCTGTCTACTGGACCTGCCCCCTGACCTCTTCACGTTACTGGACCCTGCCCCTGACCTTTTCCCACTGTCTACTGGCCTGCCCTGACCTCTTCCTGTCTACTACCCTGCCCTGACCTTTTCCCCTGCTACTGTCCCCTGACCTTTCATGTTACCAGACCCGCCCTGACCTCTTCCCTGTCTACTGGACCCTCCCCCCTGACCTCTCCCTGTCTACTGTACCCTGCCCTCCTTCCCTGTCTATGGACCCTGACCTCTTCCTGTTACTGTACCATGCCCCCTGACCTCTCCTGTCTACCGTACCTGCCCCTAAACCTCTCCCTGTCTACGTCCCCTGCCCCCTGACCTCTTCCCTGTCTACTGGCCATGCCCCTAAATCTTCCCTGTCTACTTACCGCCCCTGACCTCTTACTGTCTCCCGTACCCTGCCCCCTGCCCTTTTCCCTGTCTACGGACCCTGCCCCTGACCTCTCACTGTCTACTGTACCCTCCCTTGGACCTCTTCACTGTCTACTGTCCCCTTCCCCCTGCCCTCTTCCCTGTCTACTGGCCCCTGCCCCCTGACCTCTTCCTGTCTACTGGACCCTGCCCCCTGACCTCTTCCCTGTCTACTGCCCCGACCTCTTCACTGTCTACTGTACCCTGCCCCCCTGACCTCTTCACTGTCAAACCGGACCCTGCCCCCTGACCTTTCCCTGTCTACCCTGCCCCCTGACCTCTTCCTGTCTATGCCCGACCTCTTCCCTGTCTACTGTCCCTGCCCCCTGACCTCTTCACTGTCTCCCGGACCCTGCCCCTGCCCTTTTCACTGTCTACTGTCCCTGCCCCTGACCTCTTCCTTTTCCTACTGACCCGGGCCCCTGACCTTTCCCCTGTCTACTGGACCCTGCCCCCTGACCTCTTCACTGTCTACTGCCCTGACCTCTTCACTGTCTACTGTACCCTGCCCCTGACCTCTTCCTGTCAAACCGTACCCTGCCCCCTGACCTCTTCCCTGTTACTTTTACCCTGCCCTGACCTTTTCCCCTGTTACTGTCCCCTGCCCCTGACCTCTTCCCTGTCTACCTACCCTGCCCCTGACCTCTTCCCTGTCTAGGACCCGCCCCCTAAACCTCTTCCATGTCTACTGGACCTGCCCCTGACCTCTTCAGTCTACGGGACCTGCCCCTGACCTTTCACTGTCTACTGTCCCCTTGCCCCTGCCCTCTTCACGTACCTGCCCTGACTCTTCCCTCTCCCCCCTAAAACCTCTTCCCGTCTACTGGACATGCCCCCGGACCTTCACTTCTACGTACCCGACCTCTTCAACTGTCTACTGACCCTGACTCTTCACTGTCTACTGTACCCTGCCCCCTGACCTTTTCCTGTCTCTGACCTGCCCCCTGACCTTTCCCTGTCTTCCGTACCTGCCCCTGACCTCTTCCTGTCTACGGGCCCGCCCCCTGACCTCTTCCCTGTCTACTGGCCCCTCCCCCCTGACCTTCCTGTCTACCGACCCTCCCCGCCTCTCCTGTCTACGTACCCTGCCCCCTGCCCTCCCCCTGTCTATGCCCCTGACTCTTCTTCTAATGTACCCTGCCCCTGACCTTCCTGTCTAGGGACTGCCCCTGACCTCTTCACTGTCTACTGCCCCCTGACCTTTTCCCCTGTCTAATGTACCCTGCCCCCTGACCTTTTCACTGTCTACTGCCCCTTCCCCTGACCTCTTCCCTGTCTACTACCCTGCCCTGACCTCTTCCCTGTCTACTGTACCCTGACCCCTCTTCCTGTCTATGTACCCTGCCCCTGACCTCTTCCTGTCAAATGCCCCCTGACCTCTTCCCTTTTAAACTGGACCCTGCCCCCGGCCCTTTTCCCCTGTCTACTGTACCTGACCCTCAGGTCTACGTACCTGCCCTGACTCTTCACTGTCTACCGGACCCTCCCCCCTGACCTCTTCCTGTCTACTGCCCCCCTGACCTCTTCCCTGTCTAATGTACCCGCCCCCTGACCTTCACTGTCATGCCCCCGACCTCTTCCCTGTCAATGTCCCCTCCCCCCTGACCTTTTCCACTGTCTACTGTCCCCTCCCCTGACCCTTCCCTGTCTACTGCCCCTGACCTTTTCCCTGTCTACTGAAACCCTGCCTCCTAACTTCACTTCTAACTGTACCCCCCCCTGACCCCTTTTCCGTTACTGCCCCCTGACCTCTTCCTGCTATGGACCCTGCCCCCTGGACCTCTTTCCCTGTCTACTGGACCTGCCCCCTGACTCTTCCCTGTCTACGGACCCTGCCCCTGACCTCTTCCCTGTTACGGACCCTGCCCCTGACCTTCTGTCAAATGTCCCTGACCTTTTCCCCTGTCTACTGTACCCTGCCCCCTGCCCTCTTCCTGTCTACTGCCCCGACCTCTTCCCTGTCTACGGACCCTGACCTTTTCCCTGTTACTGGACCCGAACTCTTCCCTGTCTACCTTTACCCTCCCCCTTTGACCTCTTCCTGTCTACTGTACCCTGCCCCCCTCCCTCTTCCCTGTCTATGTACCCTGACCCTACCTTTCCCTGTCTACCGTACCCTGCCCCTGACCTCTTCCCTGTCTACCGACCTCCCCCTGACTCTTCCCTGTCTACTTGTACCTGCCCCGACCTTCAGTCTACTACCCTGCCCCTGACCTTCCCGTCTTCCCCCTGACTTTTCCTGTTACTGGCCCCTGCCCCTGACCTCTTCCTGTCTACTGTACCCTCCCCCCTGACCTCTTCCCTGTCTACTGTACCCTGCCCCGGACCTCTTCCCTGTCTATGGCCCCTGACCTCTTCCCTGTCTACTGGACCTGCCCCCTGACCTCTTCCCTGTCTAATGGACCCTAAACCTCTTCACTTTCTACCGACCCGTGTGGAAGAATTTTACATTTTACATTTACATTTTAGTCATTTAGCAAGACGCTCTTAACCAGAGCGACTTACAGGAGCAATTAGGTTAAGTGCCTTGCTCAAGGGCACATTAACGTCTTTTTAGCAGCGCTCTTAGCCAGAGCGACTCAAAAATTTGGGTGCGTTCACCCTATAGCCGTGGGATAACCACTTTACAATTTGGGGGGGGGGGGGGTTAGAAGGAATACTTTATCCTATCCCAGGTATTCCTTAAAGAGGTGGGGTTTCAAATGTCTCCGGAAGGTGGTGAGTGACTTCCCCTGTCCTGGCGTCGTGAGGGAGCTTGTTCCCACCATTGGGGTGCCAGAGCAGCGAACAGTTTTTACTGGGCTGAGCGGGAGCTATGCTCCGCAGAGGAAGGGGAGCCAGCAGGCCAGAGGTGGATGAACGCCCTGTCCTCGTTTGGGTGTGGGACTGATCAGAGCCTGAAGGTACAGAGGTGCCGTTTCCCCTCATGCTCCATAGGCAAGCACTGGTCTTGTAGCGGATGCGAGTTCAACTGGAAGCCAGTGGAGTGTGCGGAGGAGGGGGGTGAGTGAGAGAACTTGGGAAGGTTGAACACCAGACGGGCCTGCGGCATTCTGGATGAGTTGTAGGGGTTTAATGGCACAGGCAGGGAGCCCAGCCAAAGCGAGTTGCGTATCCAGACGGGAGATGACAAGTGCCTGGACCAGGACCTTTCGCCGCTTCCCGTGTAAGGCAGGGTCGCACTCTCCCAAGTTGTAGAGCATGAACCTGCAGGAGCGGGTCACCGCCTGATGTTGGCGGGAGAACGACAGGGTGTTGTCCAGGGTCACGCCTAGGCTCTTCGCACTCTGGGAGGAGGACCCCAGCGGAGTTGTCAACCCTGAGGCGAGATCATGGAACGGGCAGTCCTTCCCCGGGAGGAAGAGCAGCTCCGTCTTGCCAGGGTTCAGCTTGAGGTGGTGACCGTCATCCATATGATATGTCTGCCAGACATGCAGAGATGCGATTCGCCACCTGGTTACAGAAGGGGAAAGGAGAAGATTAGGGGGTTGTGTATCGTCAGCGTAGCAATGATAGGGGGAGCCAGTGAGGATATGACAGAGCCAAGTGACTTGGTGTTATAGGGAGAAAAGGAGAGGGGCCCAGAACCGATCCTGGGGGACACCAGTGGTGAGAGCACGTGGTTTCGGGAACAGCTTCCCGCCAACGCCACTTGGTAGGAGCGACCGGTCAGGTAGGACGCAATCCAGGAGTGAGCCGCGCCGGAGATGCCCATCTCGGAGAGGGTGGAGAGGAGGATCTGATGGTTCACGGTATCAAAGGCAGCAGACAGGTCTAGAAGGACAAGAGCAGAGGAGAGAGAAATT